ATCAGGATGATTAAAAGGGTAAGGAGTGCGGACATACAAGGTTTGTCACACAACCATGTGTCTACAGAATTTTCAACATTGTAACAAAATTGGAAACAGCATTTTCTAATTTTTCCAGACTTTTATGCCATTTTTCCAATACACTGCATGATGACGTGATGGTTGAATGGCCAGAGTTTCCAGCTCATTTCACAATATACTGAAAATGTATTCTGTGAGTTTTAAAATTGGCAAATTCCATTTTGGTTGTTGCATACAATACTGTATGGATTTGGGTTGGGTGGGGAGGGGGTTTGGATGTGGGAATGTTGATTGCACCTTGTGAACGCTGAAAAGTGGAAAATAAAGCTTTATGTTTGTTCATTCATTTAAAATACTGTATTTTTTTTCTCACATCACAAGAACATTTTTCTATATTTTTTTGGGCAACGAGTGTTTTTGTGATAAATGGAAAACACAAATCCTTTTGGCTTTGCCACAATAAGGCATTAATTAATTTGCAATTTTCCTCATTTCTATCACAGCTTTTGCTTATACATTAATTGCCAAAAATGGTTTTTGAACAATATGATTCATTTTTGAACTGCCTTAAAGTTTTATCTTAATAAGCTGAATAGTCAGTTCTTAGAATATTATGAGGAAGTTATGAATTTTTTCTATTTTTAAAAACATCCAAATTTCTAAGGGCATGTGGCAGTGGCACAACGCTGATAATGTTTAGTATTCACAGGAAAAATATGACAGAAAAAATGTCAATCATACGCATTGGTTCATAATTTTTGAGAATTCTGGAAATACTGTAGATCCAATGGAGTTTCAACAGTTTAAAAAAGTTTCTTTGCTTACCCCATCATTTTGCAGTATTGCAGTGCTGTTCAATGCCCTCTCTACCAACTTCAATGCATTTTTGTGCAAAAAGAAATTCAACGATCAAAACAGTTCCAAAAACTGACAACTGTATTGGTTGATTAAGCTGCTCCCTGATGGGAGGCTGAAGTGTTGACAAATGATGGGGCTATAAAAGTGAAAAGTTTATGGAATTCTGCAAACTTTGCTGGATCAATTTCAAGAAATCTCAAAACTTCTGAACCAAACCCTGGTATTCTTACACTCATATTCAGTTGGGCCAGTGGCTATGTTGGATTTTATGCTGCATAGAAATTCATAATACTGTATCAAAAATGATACATTCATCATACAAACAATAATGAGTGTTTTCAAATGTCTCACTCTTTGCACCAGCTGAAGTATATCCCCAGCCTTCAATTCTCACTTGAGTCCCAATGGCCACATTCTCACCAATGGCAGGCAAAGCAATGGTCTGAATCTCTGCGGTCAAGGTCGGCTGGGAAAGCAAATACACCAGGGCAATGTTGTAGGGGTCGCGTTCTGCAAATGCGCTCTTGACCTTGAGGCTCTGGAATGGGTTCTGGTTTTTCTGCTTAGATCCGAAATTCTGGTGCGGGATTCCAATGCCCAGTGAGTTGACCTCTGACTTTTCCTTGGTGTTAGCTTGCAGATCCCCGAGTGTGACCTTGATATTATAGGGGAACCGCAATGGACCAACTCTGTATAAAATAAAATTTGTCATTTTCCGAAAATTAGAATCAAAAACTGCTTGAAAGATCAATAAGGACCCAGTGTGTCACAGAGACGTGGAAAATTCTTGCATGACACAGACCAGAAAAAATATTTCAAAATTTCAAATGCCAACACGTTTTCAGTACTGCATACTTGAACCCTTGAATAGTGGTAGGTTCCTTTCCATCTCACAAAAAAGTTGAGAGTTTTCTGCAAAACTACTTGGGAACCAGAACTGGTGCCCAGGGACCAGATGTAAGATCCTGGGACCTGAATTCTGGTCCCATTTTCTGTTGTGCATCCATGCACAAAGGATTTATCTGATGCATCCACCATTTACCTCATGTGTGCTCTTTGAATACACCACTGGGCTCTGTTTCTTCATGCCCTGCTCTTTTCTCTCATCCTGTGACAGTCTTGAAAATGTTTCCTCAGTACATTCTGAGGACTTTAGCTTTCTTAAAAACACCCATTTCTGCACAGCCATTCAATATGGGTGATACAGGGGTCTTGCATCATTATTTACTGTTAGAAACAGTAATTTGAGTTGTGAATTTTGACTTGGAATTTTTCTCCTCCTTTTTCTCAAATATGAAATGAATGGTTTAAATGCAATCAGCCTAGCTATGTCCAGGGTGCTTAACACCCTAGTGTAAGGTTGATATATTTTGGAGTTTAAGTTCAATTCATTCGAGCAGCAGTTTCAACAAGCAGTTTTTTGCGTAAGACAACACAGAAGCAACTGATGATTCAATACAGAAACAATTCACTGTTTTAACAATTTTCTCGCTATGGAATGTTTCATCCCTGAGCATTGTCCTTCTAAAAAGATTTCCCCAAGAATCCCAAATCTCATGGGAACTCAAGGTTGAGTTTGGTCCCACCAAATCCTCAACTTTCTCAAAATATTGCCATTTTCCTGGTGCCACTCTAATCCTGTTGTATTTTAACCTATTACTGAATTCAATTTCCAACATTCACTTCATACATGCCCAGCTGCAAACCCCATTTTTGAAAAAAATCATCCATATCCAGCCAGCCATGGAATACAGGTGCCTGTGTATTTACCCCTGGCTGAAAAATGGCTGATTATTTACTGGGATTGTAGTGTTTTGCTCATTACATATCTTTGTTTGGGGAAATCCCTAACACTACATATAAGAGACACTTACATATTATTGACTCCCACAGATAACAAATTGTGCAAAATGCTTGAAAGATGAAAGTAGCAAAAATATTTTGTTTCCATCAAATCAAAAACATTTTAAATATCATCAAATAAAATTTTAACAAATGGATGCTATTTTTTCCAAGTGTCCATGGCTCAATATCTGAAGTTTCATCTCACATTGGTAATGCCACGCAGGTAGCAGATGTGAGGACGTATTTCGAACTGATCAGTGATCCACCGCAACTTCGAAGTCTGTAAAAAAAAACCTTGACTTGGATTCTGGCAGTATGTTCAAAACCTTTCCGATTCGTGACTTCTATCCCTTTGATTATGGCTGGTCGAATTTCCGGCGCAGCTGGAAATTGGGAAGATGAGAAAATTGTTTTAAAAATGTGATGGGTTTACGATTGGATTTTTTTTTTAGGAAGGACGACCAATTTTTTTTTTCATCCTTCGGAAAAATTTGGACAGTCTTACAATCAGGGTTGAGTGTGGTAGATGTCGTTCCCTCTTGTCCATTCTGTCTCATTTCCTGACGTTCGGCGAAAAATCTTGTGGCTGTTGCTCCTGAAATTAATTGAATTAAAAAAAAAAAATCAAAATTGAACGAATGCTTTGCTTCAAAAATTTTTTTTTTCATTACCCCGCATGCTTAGGAATAAGTGAAAGAGAATTTGCAGGACCAAAAACGGCCTTGACCCGCATGTCGCCATGACAAATTGTGCTAAGCTCTTTCTTGCCCTTTCTTTCCGCTGCTGATTTTATCACGGACATGCACCAAATTTTATTTATATTATGATTGTTTCCAAAATTATATTGAGCCTCTTTTCAATGATTTTTTGCATTACAAAAAAAAGAGAGTAGAAAACATATATATTTTTAATGCACTGTGTCATGTATTGAAATGATGTACAGAATTTCATGATTTCAAATTTTCCAGACACCAGAATTCAAATAAAATAACATCGGGAAAATTCTGCTGTGCGACATGTTCATGATTTCAAAATTTTTGAGGGACCCGTGGGAAGACTGTTTGCAAAATGCCATATAGAAATATTAATATATGACAAACTTTTAAAAATTCGTGCCAAAAGTAATTCTTGGTTATTTTTCTGGTTTTCTATACTTTCTCTTCCGTGTTATAGAAGTAAGCTTTGCTGAATCATAATTTAATTATTTCGGCATATTATGGAAAGAAAAAGTTTCTGGAGAGAAAATTCCGTATTTCGTTAAGAAAATCAAGAAAAGATTATTTAACAGTGAAAGATAATTTGGTTGCTTTCGTCGTGACAAAGTGTTCGTTGTCTTTTGCTGGGAATTTTTTATTTTGCTTGATAATTTTTTTTGCATGGCCAGAAAAATCACAGATTTTGGGAATTTGATTCGTGATTCTCGCAAAAATTCGATCTTCACTCTCCAGTACAATAATTTCGCTATACGACGAATTCTTTGGGTTTCTTGATTTGTCTTTTGTCAGTATATTTCACTCCCGGAAAAGTGAATGACGCTTAACTTATTTGCAATAAAAGCTTTGCGCTATTTAGAACGGGAACACTTGGTTGCAAACTTTTTTCCCTTATCCAGATTTTCAAACATATTGGAAAACTTTCGTTTGAAAAATCCTAGGTTTGATGCCTATGATATGTCACTTTCTCCATCAGCTTCTACTTCGAAAAGAACTTCAGCGTAAGCAGTACACTGTATAACCTTGTTGATCTTTTGAAGTACAGTACTATGACGCACTTCAGGATCCTGGAAGTAAGGAAAACTATTTTTTTAAACGATTTTAGTACTTTTCAACTGCCGGTGACGGGGTACTTATTTTCTACAAAAATCACTGCTTCAACTTTTGATCTGTGCCAGTTTTGTAGCATTTTCAAAACTAAACCATTAAACTGCATTTCTAACCCTTGGACAGACAATTAGACTATTTTCCTGAAATTTGTTGCACCTCAGAAAGGGGAAGAAAAAAATGACAACAGGGGGTTAAGGGCCAAGTCCAGAAAAATCCTGTCTGGACACAAAATAATTTTGTGGAAAATTTTTTAAAAAAAAGCTCAGCTAGGCTACTGGTTTTTCTCAGATTAACCCCAACACTTTGCTTCAACCCACCTGAAAGGGTTTTCCTGACCTTGGAAAAACTGAATTTGCCATAGGGTAAAAAAAGAATCCAACTCCATCATCCTTCTATGGGAAAGAACCCTCTGCCATCCAAGGGTTTTGATGGAAGCCAAAATTTTCTGTCCAATTTCAAGTACATTGCCATGTTGGAAATTAGAATATGTTGTCCTACTTATAGTCAGGACTGTGAGTCAAGAAATGAAGAACCACTTATTCTTATTTCTGGGTATATGCTTTATTCACAATGCACTCATCCAACATCATACATTCAATATAAGTCCACACAAATACAAAACATACAAGTCCAGCTTTATTTTTAATTCCAACTAAAGGTTTGAGCTTTGCCAATATCAATTCTATGAAATTTACTGTAAAAAGCTTGGATGAGATCAGATCTGCCCTCATTCCAAGCTGAGTTATTTCAACTTGATCATTTGAAAGGAATGGACAGGGGAACAAATACCATCCCCATGGATGGGTGAAACCTTGACTCAACAGAATGCAATGCGGCAAATTGCACTAACTGAAAGAAACACAATTTGACACAGCCTCATATCAACAGAAATGACATGGTCACAACAGACGTTGAAGTCTAATGTCATTTCTCTTAATTGTTTTGCTTGAGCCTACCAGGACACCGAGAATGATAATGGAACTATTGAAAGAAAAGAGAAAAGTTCTTAACTGTCTGAAATTATTTACCTTTGGCATCAGTCACATTTTGGATGTCTCATGCAAGATATGTCAAACTCTTCTTTGCAATCAACTGCTTTGAAAATCTTGTTCTTTGTCAAATACACCAACCTTACACTAGGGCGTAAAGCACCCTAGCCATAGCCTGGCTGATTGCTGTTTTCTTTATTTAAAAAAAATGATTTGAAATCTTTATGTCTCAACATGCTGTTTGAAAGCTGACTATCCTCTTGCCAAATTCAATTTGGGACAGAAAACATGAGGTGACCATGAAGTGCAAAATTCATAAATTGTAACATGGAAATACAGTATAAAGCATTTTCATTTTCTGCTTAAACTTGTGCCTTACAGTATTCTGCATATATTGAAGGACCTGGTGCATGAATACAATTAAAATGTATGCATTTATGTAATTATATATTTATTTATTCATATATGCATGCATCAGGTGCTTTGTCTTCAGCAAAGCTGAATTTGCTGAAATTATTTGTATGATATTTGAAAGACTTACCACATCCATTCCCATAATTTTCCACGTCAAGTTTGGATTTGATATGAATCGGTTTATCATCTGCTCAAGAAACATCGATTTTTTTATTTTGGAAAGTTTTGGCTTTCCAAGCTTCTTGTAATTTCACAAACTATACGCAGTTTCTTTTTTTTCTGAGATGTAAGTTTTCCTTGCCCTTTTTTTTTCTTTGAGGAAGGTAAATTTGCTGGAATTATTTCAGCGAATTTTAAAGAATCATATCAATTGCGCAATTTTTTGCGTGATTCAAAATCCTGCATTCTAAAATTTTTGAAAGTTCTGGTTTTTTAATCCAGATTTTTTTGCAATTTTACGCTGCGAGAAGGAAATAAATAGTTTTGGCTATATTTTTGCTAATAATTAAATTATATGGTGCAAATTTAAAGCGATTTTTGCGACATATTCTGGGTCAAGACGCATTAGTTTCTTTCGTGTCAGTTTTCCTCGTCTTGTTTTTTTCTAAAACCGCTCCAATTGTTTTGCGTTGGCCTCGCTTTTTTTTCATTTGATTCACCTAGTTTCTTTGACCTGTTTTTTTTCCTTGCTGAAAGATCGATTCACGAGAGATTGGCACAAATTGAATAGGATTGATTTCTGCGCACTTGACTAGTTCAGATATATGTGTGTGTTGCATGAGAGGAAAAGCTCATTTGCTGTTCGTTCATCTTCGCATCGAAATCCTAATTCTTCAGTGCAAAAATGCAATTTCACAATCACAGAGTCTTGGGTACGAAAATTCAGCTGATGCTGATTTTGACTGTGAAAATTTGCGAAGCGAACCCAGCACTTTTCGGTACGTACGTGAGATCCCAAATAAATTGATGAGGTGAAAAGCTGGAACATATTTATGATAACTTTAAAAAATTGTTCTTTGTTTTTTTTTCAGGGCTCAAGAAATTCCAAGAGCAGAACTACGTGTATTTGAATAACTCTTCTGACGCAGACAGGAATTTGAGCAATTTTACAATCGGGGGAACTGCCCCTGTGTTGAGGACGATGGGTTACAGACATTTGGCAAGAGTTTACTACACCCACATCGATGGGTCTTCAGGGGTTTGCACGGGTTCCTTGGTGTCCCTCGAATACGTCTTGACTGCTGCCAATTGCGTCATGAAGCACCTGTGAGTATTTACATGGGGTTATATTTTATTGTGCCAAAAAAAGGTGACCTATTGTGATTTACATTTTCAAATTAGCTTGAAACTCCAAGAGGTTTAAAATGCCAGAGATTTGACATGGATATAAAATAAATATTTGAAACTGATATCTTTGCAATTAAATTACCACAGGACTATAAAGATGCACAAAATGAGCAAGCAGTTAAGCAGCTTGCTAGCTCATTTAAATTTTAAATTACTATACTTGATCTTTTAGCAAAGGAATGGGACAGGACTTGGTTGAAGCTGAATATAGACTGATGATGTATTGACACAATCCACACACCTTATATACCCCATACAATAGGCATGAAAACACACAGGCACTTTCCACAAAAAACAAGTCCTGAAAACCAGGAAATTTTCCAAGGTAAAATGTTGCACATTGTGTAATTCACAATGCAAAATACCAAAGTGCGTATCTCATTTAATTCTTAAGATAAAAAATTCTGCAATGTCTTAAAAGTTAGATCTCAATGTTTTCTACAATTTTTGTTCATGGAAACATAATTCTAAATGTCTTACTGTTTAAGATATTTGCGTTTCTGCAAAATAATGTTTTTGCCAAAGCGCTTTGCTGATAAGAATCGGCGCGCATTTCCTTGCTGATAAAATCTCCCATGGTCAGGAGCAGAGACAAAAACAAAATCATCCCACTTTGGGCATTCACAAAGTAAAATGCACAATTGGTGCAATATTTGCAGCTGCTAAAATTATATGAAGTTCATGCTGCAAAATAAAACATCCTTCTTGTCTTCAATAAAATAAAATCTCTGGGTTAAAATGAAACACAGAGACAAGCTGAAAACATTCAATTTCAACCAATACCCTGGAATCAGTGAGCAGAACTTTTACTTGATTTGGTATTTACGTAACAAATATTCTTTCTTAATTCAGGTTTGACTGAGCCGCAACACGAGAATTATTCAAATACCCTGCATATAATTTTTTTAAAGGAGCAAAAATTAGGAAAAATTCAAAAATTACCCAGTATATAAAGGAATACTCCACAGATAAACTCTTGATTCATTTTCTACTTCTAGAAATTATTCGCTTTCAATAATTTTCAGGGGAATTTTTTAAAACGAAATTATCCAATAAAATCTTGGTACAACGGAGCCCATGGGACCAGTAAAATACCTTCGTTGTAACGATAAATTCGTTATAAAGTAACTGATTCAACATTGTGGCTTTTTGGCAGCAGGGAGAAAAAAAACGAATTCGTTGTAAACGATTATTCGTTATGTCGAAAGAAGCCGTTTTAACGATACCCTATTTTAAATATTATTTTTTCTCAAGGAATTTCGCGCAACATTTGACATTCTTTGAATTTAATTTTATGAATCCCAAAGTTTTCCGGGGATTTAACTCTTGAAATTAGAGAAATTTAAAGATTCAATTATATTTGAGTATTCATGTTTTTGTTTTTTTGTTTTTTTTTTCAGCTGGATGATTTTCAGGTCGAATAACAGGTTGATTGTAGTTCTTGGAGACGTTTCTCAGTCAAAGAGCGAAGGAACCGAGCAAACCATAGGTGGGTTAGGGATACCATACCCAGGGTACCCGTCCACACCGAAATCCCGTGACCCTAAGGATATTGCATTGATCAGACTCAATCATCCAGTGACGATCAATGAATTCGTGGCCACAGCACCATTCGCCAAGATCAACTTCAACATCAATGACGGGTCCCTGGTTTTTGTCTCAGGATGGGGCATTTCGGAACCCGGAGGTGAAATATTTCATTTCCTATCAAGATACTGAATTTATGAACGGAGGATACGTAAGCGAGCGACATCTGTCAATACTTATTGATACAAGCTGTGAATATTGATGCCTTCCCCTGACAGGTGCCGGCAGCCAAAGACAATAACGGAACATGCTTCCGTTATTTCAATTAAAATTTTCAATTAAAGAAAATAATTGATATTTTTGAGGGAAAATAAGGTTCACTTCATTTCTAAAAAAATGTTGATGCGGTCTACTTTGGAGAATAATAAATTGACGTCAATTAGGCTCTTTGGCGATGGTTCTTCCTCATATTGTTCATGAGATTACATAATTTACAGAAAAAATAAATTTCCTTTGTATCTGGAAATGTCGGAAAACTGTCCAGATCATGAGGCATGAATATCACAGATGCTGGAAAATAATTTATTTAATTCAAAGTTTCCATATATAGTCAAGTTTTCGAGAGCATCACTGTAATAAAAAAAATATTAAATCTTTCAGTGGAATTTGTTTGTATGATCAAATGTCTCGACAGAATTTAAAAGAAAAAGGTTCAATGTGTTTCAAAATTGATTGAGCGACTCCAACTTATTTATTTTCTTTCAAAGGAACATCAGTTTCCGACTCTCTAAGTGCTGGGATTGAGGTTAAACTTTCCAGTGGAAGTTGCGGTGAAACGGATTACAATAGACAATTGTGCATTGGCAACTCTACGAATACTTGCAGCGTAAGATTTTCAGTCAAATTAAAATTTGTCAATATCGATCGCCAAATAATGCTCATGAAAATTCGTTTTTTTGGATTGCTTTTATAGGGATTCAGCGGAGGACCCGTGATGACCAGTGATGGCATGATTATTGGAGTTTCTTCGTACCCGGAAAGCCCGTGTGTTGCAAATTCTTCTCAGGCGGTTGTGCGAATTTCATACTATTCCGACTGGATCCTCTACGAAATTTCGAAGCCATCATTCGAAAGTGCGAAACAACCCTACTGAAGAAACTTTCCGGTCTTCATCGTTTTTGTTGTTGTTGTTGTTGTTGTTGTTGTTGATGAATCATTTACTGAAAGATTTATGCAAAGGATTTCCCACACGCCCGAAAAATTCCTCTTGAATTCCGAGTAGTAAAAATGCATCTTTTGTTTCGGGTGGTTTGTTTAAAAAATTGCCTCATATAAAATGCGGTGTGTGTTATTGAAGAATGAGAACTTGATGTATGACTGTTATCTAATATACATCATCAGCTTATTGCTTCGAACAGGATAAAAAAAAAAATCCGAGGAAATTCTTGAAAAATCTTTCTGAAATACGAACTCTTCGTTCAAATTTTTTGCACCCGCTTATTTGAAAATATTTGTCAAGAAAAAGGAGTACGGTATGATGATAAGAAAAGTGGACACGTTTTAATTCTTTTTCATTTTTAAAGACCATTACAATTCCAATGGTCATTGATGCTGTATTTTGGCAGTCATCTTCCGTTATCGTCTTCGACTGCGGGCATCTGTCACAGAAAGGCATCAGCATCAACAATTTTTGTTAACAAAAAATTGCTAGATGTCGCTCGCTGACAGATCTTACGTTCATAAATTCAGTCACTGGAGTCCGACATCTTACAGGGGCGCAAATCCAAACAGATTTTATCTTCATTTTTTTTTTAGAATTTTGCGATAACGTTTCAGAAGTCTCATTCCATTGTGGTGAAAAAGCTGAACCAAGAATTTCCTCATTTTCGATGACAAAGACGCAGGAAGTTCATTCTGTATAACAATACAGTAGTATGAAGCATTCTGAATTCTCTGAAAACTCAAGTTCAGAGCGAACACTGAAAAATCAATGCTGATATTTTTCAGAAGGTTTCACTGCTGTGAAACCTAAAAAGATAATCTTATCGTCGCGTCGCATCACACATCCAAAAGTAAATTGGAGATTATTAACTCAATTTTGTCAAATATTCGGGGGGATATATACAGTATTCCTGGCTTGGACATAGACCAAGTTACTGTGATTATGTGCAGTTTTTGTACTCTTTGACAGCCTTAAATTAGTCTGCAGCTGCTTAAACCGATTTCTGCATGATGTTTTAAGCACGTTGAGCTTGTATTAATGACGTTTAATTGGACACCACGTACATACACAGTCGAAAGCTTTTCTCGGTAGTGCGTAAAATGTAATTGGTGAGCGACCAATTAGTGATAATTTGTGTCAGAAACTCAGAATACACCTGGTTTTATTCTTACACATAATACGAATTATTAATGAGGATTTTTTTTATAAAAGGAAAATCAGCATATTTGTGCTCAGGAAAACTTTGTGCAACACACTTCGCACTGCGGACTGAGCTGGAAAGCAACCGACTTGTTTTTTTCTCTGCATATGGGAAGTTATTTGGTAAAAATTTGATTTGACATTGAAAAAATATATTTGTGTGAAAGCTTTTGTTTGAAATTGATTTTTGAAGAATGGAGGCGCAGTTTCCGAAACGTTGGGTCGAACCGAAGCCTTTCTGGAAGCATTTTTTGAAGTTTTTGTTTTCGCATTTCGGTTTATTTTTGCTCATTGTCGGCTACTGTGTTGCTGGTAAGACATTTTTTCATATATTTGACATTTTTTGTTGTAATTTAGTTTTTATTTTAAATTCAGGATCTCTTTGATGGTTATTTCACGAAATAATATACATTAGTTGAAATTCGATTTTTCAGGTTTCACTGGGCTGCATTTGATTAAATATTTCCATAATGGAATCCATTGAGGAATAAACCGATCGACTGGATAAATATTTGATTTGGGTTTTTTTATTACCGTCAGCAAAAATTTAGATACTTTTCCACGATAAATTAATTCCCTAAAAGTTTCCAAAATTGAAATAGTTGTTTGCGGTTTTTCGTTATTTCATTTTAGGATTGGAATTCTTTTATGATCGCGTTTTCTGGGGAGAGGAATTTTATTCCGAAAATATTTTTAAAAAATTAATGTTGATGGTTTTATTTTTATTTTCGTGAAAGCCTTTTATTTATTTTGTCGTATATATTTTGACATTCATTCTTGAGTAAATTTCGTTGCTCATTCGGAAATAACTTATTATTGGAACGTTATTCCATCGATTTTATCGAATTTATTCTGCCAATTCCTTATCCAAATTCTCGTTCCGCAACTCAAAATGTGATAGATATGTTTTTTTCTAATTTTCAAAAATTATTGACAACAGGTGCGTACTTGTTCATATCCATGGAATTACCGGAAGAAGAAAAACGTTATGAAATCAAGAAACTCGTGGCCCATGATGTGGACGATTCGATTCAATTTCTGTCCGAACAGTTCAATTATTACTACAATATGAACTTCACGGATTCCCAAGTGAAATCGAGGGTAATGAGTCACACAATTGTTTGTCCAAGAACCACATTTTTTCAGGGAGTTGAAACTATATACACGTGCCAATTATATTAGCAAAAAATCCAATCGCCACGTTTGACAGAAAGCTATCGAATACCAATAATTCATGCAAGAAATCAAAGTTTTTCTCAAGAACCAATCCGAAAAGTTGCATTGAACAGAAAGTGTCTTCAATTTTTCGTCAAATTATGATCAAAGCCAATATTTAGTCGAAATGACCAGAACTTTTGCTCAAAACGGTGCGACGCAAAAAAATTAAATAAAATTATCTCCATGCAATTTCCTTTCCGCCATATACAGATTTTATTTTTGGAATAATAAAATGAAATTCTGGTGATCCATGTGTACATTTTTAATATTATTTGAATTACACGTGAACCTCAATAATAAGTCAATCCTCCCGAAATAAAATTTCTTTCAAGTCCCTGTTTGAATTCCTTTAGAATCAATACATCAAAAACCTCCCTAACCTGGAGTCTTTTTTCTAAAACCTGTGCAAGTCAAATTTTTGGAGGCTCTTCTGGTTATTATTGCCTTGAAATATGAAAGATAAAATGTTTAACACAAATAATTTGATGCCTCTTGAAAGGAAGTGAAAGAAAAATATAGCAAATACCTCCAAGTTCAGCAAGGTGAAAACTCATCAAGGAGCAAGTTCAGACCCAGAATATCCTCATTTACAATTTTCCAACATTTTTTACCTCACAACGAAAGTGTTTGTTTCCTCAACTGGAAACCTCCAAAAATCCAAACCCCCCTCAGTCAAATTTTTTTCCTGGTCCCTATAGAAATTCCACTGACAGAGGTTCAACTGTATTATTAGATTATTGCAGACATCAAAAGGCTCAAAAAATACATCGTGTCAATGGTATCCAAAAAGAAGTACAATGGTGAAGTCCAAGGTTGGAAGTACGCCTGGACTTTTCCCAGGGCACTTCTTTTTGCTGTGAACATCATTACGACCATTGGTGAGTTTTGCAGGCTGTATAAAATAATTTTTTCTTCATATATGCGTAAAAATAATTTGTGATACTGTTATAAAAAGTACTGACGCGAAAATCGATTTTTCGCTTGAGTTATTTTTGCGGAAGTTACGGAAAAAAAAGAGAGAAAAAGGGAAATGTTGAACTTGGTGGTTTTCTTTCGAAGGTTATGGAGACATTGTTCCGGTAACATTCAATGGACGAATGGCTTCGATTGTTTTTTCCATAATCGGAGTTCCATTGATGCTTTTGTTCTTGACAAACGTTGGAAACTCTTTGGCTGAGAACCTCAAGTTCATTTACAGGTACCTCGAATTTATAAATACTTTTTTTTTAAATATTTTGAATATGTATAGCGCGAAAAAATAACTCAGAATTTTATTTTTAATTCCTAAATTATTTTTGGGGATAAAAATTTGGACGAAATCATTTTTGTTGCGTTTTTTTTCTACTAGAAATAAATTTTTGAAATTTTTTATCTGGGATGATGGACGACAAAAAATAGATCCCAACATTAAAGGAATATTTATTTACGTAATTATTGCATTTTCGCAGTCGGGCATGTTGTTGGTGGTGCAGATCGCAAAGAAAATCGTCAGAGTTGCCAACAAACAGCAAGAAATTCTCCAGGGGATTCCGACTATCCGATGAAACCGCAGGGGAAGAAAGTTACATGCCCACAAATCGAGTCAGTGCAATTTATTTTATAACGAGAAAATTTCAAAATTTGACATCAATTAAACTTTATTTCATTTTTTGAAAGGTCAATGTTCCAGTTGCGCTGATTTTGACGATTTTGGCAATTTACGTGGCTATCGGAGCGGTATTTTTTAGCTCACAGGAAAATTGGACTTTTGTACAAGCAGCATATTTCACCTTCGTGACAATTGCAACTATTGGATTTGGCGACTTCGTCCCTGGAAAAAGGTACTGTACTGTATTTTCATTTTATTGCCATGCAGTGCAAAAAGCTAGTGGAAATATTTCAGACGTGAATTAACGCGAGGAAATTGCATCAAAAATTTTTTAAATGCGGAAACATCGTCAAAATATGAATAAAAAATGATGACTGTGCCAATTTGTGAAGAATTATTTTTTGCTGGTTTTTTACTTTTTGCGCAAAGTTTTTCAAATGCCGACGACGGAGGATTAATGGGCATTTTCAAGATGCTCTTCACGTGCCTTTTCTGCATTTTTGGTGATTATTAAAAAAAGTTGATCAACTGCTGTGAAAATTTCAAATTTAATATATGATTCCACAGGCTTAGCACTGATGTCAATGGCAATCAACTTGATTCTGAATCAAGTCAAGAGCCAGTTTTCGAAATTGGCAATCGAAATCGGCATTCAGCAATCACCGGATGAACCTCGCATTCCTTTCAAATTTTTGCGAAATCAGGCCAAGAAAAACGCTCGCAATGTTTTGCAAACCCCTCAGGAAAATATTGGAACAAAGGTACGATTTTAAGTTCAAGGTCTGCGAAAATGAATAAAGTGGAAAAGTTTCTCATTTCTGCAAATTAAAATCTGGATGATGAAAATTCATGCAATTTTTCTCGTATAATGATATTGTATAATCGCAGTTAAAATTTCATTCTGCAGTCTTAATAGAAATTAATTTACAAAGGTTGATTCCGAAGTTTTTTCCTATGATTGCCTTTTCAGTGTCTCAAGATCAATTCTCGACCACTGATGAAATGTTTACATAATCATATAAAAATTGAGCAGAATGCTGCGAAAAAAATAAGATTTACTAGCAACACTTGTACAACAAAAGCAAAATGTATTTTAACCACATTTCTTATATTTTTATTCGCAGAAAGCAATTACAAAAGGAATCGACTGACCAGAGGAAATCAAATTGGAATCACCAAAATGAAGAGATGCTACTTCACAATTTTCTGAGTAATTTTTAAATGAGGCATTTTATGTATCAGGGTTGGTTCATAAATTTTGCAATTGCAAAGAAATAAGCCCACATTTTTATTTTCAAAATTTTTTTGTACAAAAATACAGAATCTTTTTAAATACATTCCATGAACTCTTTCAAGCAAAACTTTTGTGCCTGCAAAAAAATATTTATGAAACTTTTCCTGTCCCCAGAAAAATGTTCCACAAAAAGTTGCAGAACTTACTGACCAACCCTTGTTGTTAATTTCTTTCCTCTCTCGAGTGCACTGTTGGCTTTTGTCACTGGAGGACATGGGGTATGAAAACCGGGTCATAAAATTTGCTTCACGGGTAATTGCTGCTGTGTTATGCTATCACCATTTACGACAACCTCGGTTCCACGTCCATCCAGAGAAGAAATACCAGCGAGAAAACTTGTTCTTTTGAAGCAAGGATGCTTTGGATTTTTTTTTTATGATTACGTGATGTCACTGGGTTGGTTTATTTCAGGTGCCTGAGATTAATTGAGCGGTTGAATCAGCAGAGAAAATTGTGAAATACTTTTTTTTTTATCCCGGCGAAAATTTTCCGAACCTGCTATTTTTTGGTTTTTGAAAATCGAGCGAATATCGTCACGAGAGAAAAATGCATTGACACTCGGAAGTTTATGAGCATCATTTCTGTTTTTACGGTACGTAATTAAGGTCAACCCGTCTTAATTAGAGTTAATTGAAGTCTGGTTGAATAAATTTGGGGGATAGAGTCGTCACACTTCGAACGATATTTGACGAACGAGTGTCGAATAATGCGATGGGGGATATTTTCCGAATAAGGCTTCTGTTTTTGTGGCCCTCGAATCGAATGAGTATATGGATATGTGTGGGTTCGATAATTTGATTGATTCGATTTTGATTGATTGTTTTCCTATGATATTTGATCGTTCCACGACAACCAGTGTTATACACTCCCAATATCTGCTTCCTTCCAAAAGTTAAAACTAACTTACGAAACCTAAGAAGTTGAGACTACAAATTTTTAACAAAATTTCACTATAACCTATTAACGTCTTTTAATTAATTTCTACATGAAATGTTCGAATTGCGTTACACGAAAAGATGATATATATATATATATTTTTTTTTTAAAGCATCCAATAAAAGTCGTCCAATTACAGAATTTATTGTCAAACGGTACTTGGCAAAATATTACCCTTTTTCAAACTTTTTTACACGTGGATTTTCGTCAATTTTTTTAATCCAAAAGTATTTTTTTGAATAAGTGGTTCAGTATACCACGTTGATGAACTCGTGGTTCGTCTTTTATTTGAATTTTTGAATTCCTTTTCATCACCCTCTTGATCGATGATTTCTCTTGATGTTTCATCATCCAGAATTTTAAAAAGATTCTCACCATTTATTTTTCTTTATTTTTCACGTTTTCAAATTCGACAATTCGAACAAGTTTGCAAAGAAAAATTTTGCAAGGAATATTCCTCTGACTCTTGAGATTTTTTTTTCTCGGTAAATGAAACTGTGAAACTTTGTTTTGGCATTTTCTTGACAATTTTCAACTTCAGACGCGAATCCAGAAACCTATTTTAGTGAATGTTTAAATTTGATTTTATTCCGTAAAAAATTGAAATGCATACGAATTTTGAAACTTCACGATGTACCCAGCACAGGTTTTCTATCGACTGATCTCATCCACAATTGAATCATCCCTGATCATTTTCACTCAACAGAAGTACAGTATAGAAAAATTAAAATTTATTCTCGAAAATATAAAAATTCCGGTTCTGAAAAGCCGTAAGAAGAGTTGCGTCCTCGAACGTCTTATTCAGGTTCAAAAACAACAACAGAGGAAGTTAGAGAAAGGTCTTGTCTCACTGCTCTCAACTCCTTTTTTCACCACCCCAAAGTTATTAATAGTCTAGTATGGGTTAGGTCTTATTAATAGAACTAATTGGAGAGGACCAAGTCTCACGGGAAGGACTTCCGTTGTTTCGAATGGCTCCGGAATCGGAAGGGCGTCTTTCTCGTTAATGATGTCCTCAGGGCATTAGGAGAAAAGTAAAACTTTTGTTTTCCTTCACTGGACTTCAAATATACAGTACAGTATACCTGGAAAATTGTTGAGGTTATCTGTATAATTTTGGAGAAAAACGTAAATTTTTAGCAATATTATATCGAACCTTTACAAACGGAGCTCAAAAATAAGACTCAGAGGACTCTCTTATTTCATTCTATATCAATTAAATTAGGCTAACGTCTTTTATATTTAACTCTCGAAAAACATTTTATTAATAAAAAGTTAACGTTTCTTCAAATGAAAAAAAATATTTCGAGTGCAAAATTCTTTTCGGGGTCACATTTATCAAATTTAATTTTCAGTTTGTGGAATGTTTTGTTTAGAAAATTATGCGGCAACCGTTCTTCAAATTTCGACGTTCACAAATAAAATATCGAGAATAGACGACTTTTCTGGGTTATTTTTAATGGTGTGTCCTCATTGAAATTGTGCATTGAATAACTTGAAGGCATGTTTTCCAGTGTTTAATTTCTCTATCAAATGCATTAGATATCACTTGAAATTCATCTGCCGAATCTTATTGTCGAACTTTCTTAGAATTTCAAGGAACGATTTCCGGAAGATGGTATAAACAAGCATTTTTTTATTACTTGCTGCATGGTGATCAATTTTATCAAATTTAAATCAACGTTTGATCTAAAAAAAATAAATTGCATCGACTTTTCTTCAAATCGGCACAAGACAAACGTCAAGAAAATATTTTGAAGACACGTTTTCTCCGTATCATTTTCAAAATATGCCTGAAACAGCAATATTATGATTTATCCTGCCCACAATCATGTCAACATTTCTTTAAATTGCAATAAACGTCTTGAAAATCTGTACGAATGCATTTTTCTTCTTTATAGAAATATCAGAATAAGAAGGTTATTTCCGTGTTTGTCACCATAAGCAGAGGCAGACTTTTACACCTACGTTGTGATTTTTTGAACTTGAACTCATCGTCATCCCACTCAATCAAATCATTTCCCGTCCTCAAACGGAAGTTGAAGTTCATGGTTTTAAATATAATGAGGCATTTTGGACTGCATTCATCGTCATCATTTTTGAATTTATTTTAAAAAATCACATGGAATATACACGGTCAGTATAATTC